AGTTTTCAACATTGGCCAAGGAAAACCTTTCAGTGGTTTATCCATTAAAAAGACCCCCAAACAGATCCAGCATTTCAATAGAAGACTCTGAGGTTTAGTTCAAATTAGGAAGCAATTAATTGCCTTTGACCTTCTATTTACTTTCATCGCTGCCTCTTTTCTGTGGGCAAAATGCAGCCCGAGGCCCCTTTTTTCTATAGCCATTGCTTAGTAACTCCGGTCCGAAACACCCGCTCTTTTTCCGCTGGTTCTCTCCACTCCACCCTCTGTGTAATTTCCCTTCCTTTGCAGCTAATTAATTAACTAATCAAAAGAGCCCCATGGGCAAAGCAAGAAAGGTCAGGGGCTCAAATTTAGAGAGCCAGGGAGAGGAGAAAAAGAACTATCCGGACTAATAATGGAAAACGGACGAGCTCGCAGAAACAAAAAGGGGGGGCCTAAGTGCGTTTTCCATTATGGTCCAGCTTGTCCTCGTGTTTTTGCATAAATTGTGGGAATCTCTCTCTTTTCAAATAAGAATTTTAGCATCGGAGTCAGCTGATGCCTTTTTGCAGTGTGTGGGGAGGGAATTGATAATCTCTTAATTCCATCTTCAAAATCCAGGTAGACTGTTTGTGGAAAGTGCGATCCAGCCGACCTAAAGGTGGGGGACGGCTGGGTTTAGCCTGTGTCTTGTGGTTGAGAAGGCAGACCTGATTATAGATGGGATTTTTGAATATACAGTGGTGCCTCGCTAGACAATGATAATCCGTTCCACTGAAATGGCTGTTTAGCGAAATCATTGTCAAGCGAAAAGCATTTCCCCATTGGAATGCATCGAAACCTGCTCAATGCGTTCCAATGGGGAAGAATCGTCATTGTCTGGAGTTACGGGAAAGAGACTCTCCCGGCTCCCAAAGGGGAAAAACGGGAAAACACACACAAGACAGGAGGGGGAAAAAACGCCAACCACATCCAAGACACGCAGCTGCTCACGCAGACCACAAAAACAGCGGCCTGTGTAGGTTCCTGAGCTGAGTAAGTCCCTCATTGTCTGGCAAGGTCACCGGCCTCGCTTCCCGACACACTGGCACAGACAAGTCCACACATTCCGGCAGCTGTCTCGCCCCCGGACCGACTCATCACCGGCAACGACTTTCCCGGGAACCATGAGCGTCAACAAAGCAATTACAGAGAACCGGCCCCATTTCTGGAGATTTCCCCCAACGGTGCCGTGAAAGGGAAGACAGTGTTCGGCGATCCATTTCACAAAAGAACAGCTCCCCGACACCATTTTTTTCCATTCCTCACTTCTCTCCTCCACACATCTTTTATTCCGAAGGTTTTCCTGCCCTTCCCTGTTGCCGAAAATCAACTGATGCCAGTGGGCCTCTTGCTTGGAAACCTCTCTCTGCTTTCTTTTTGGGGTGCTGTACGAAAGCAAAGGTATGAGTTTTCGCTGGAAGGAAAACATTCGGAGCTTGGAAAGAACACATTACATGTAACCATGTGACTCAGGCAGGTAACAAAAGGCTCAACAACTTTCTTTTTTCCAAATTAACATAACAATTAGTGTGAATCTTTGCCCCTTCGTTTTTTTTATTTTTCATTGGAGGGTAGGCAAATTGAATAGGGTGACCTTCGAGGGTCCCCCACAAAAACTCTGCCTTTGAGTGTATTTTTCTTCTTCTTAAAAAAAGGGGACCAAATAGTTATGGAAAAGTAAAGAGTTTTGAAAAATGATTTTAAAAAAAGAGCCAACCAGGAAAAAAAATCGGAATGTTCACAGTAATAACTTTTATGAGCTGCTTTTTAGAAAGCAGCTTTTCAAACTCTGCAAAAAGCTCCAAAACTTTGTCGTGTTAACACCAAACCAGACCGACCAAAGCATGCAAGCTTTAGAGAGCTACAGATCTCTGCATCAGGTAGGGAAAGGATGGGGGCAAGTAAACTGAGTTGATGTTGAAATCGTGGTATTACGTGGTAGCCCAGCTATGGAAGGAGAAATGAAGTCTGAAGAACTTAAAACAAGTCTGTTAGAAGGTGGCCGATGGCTTTAAGGTTTCATCAGGAGTGACCCCATGGAAAACTGGAAGCAAGGAAGTCTCCAGACCTAACTGGTCTCTTATCAGCTAGTAGGCTCCACCCCATTTCCCAGGCTCCACCCTTTCCATGTAACAAGCTCCTCCCTTCAGCTCATAGGCTCCACCCCCTACCATGCCCCCTACTCAAGAGACCAACAAACCCATACAATATGGGCTTGTATCACAGGGTGTTAATATAGCCAATTCATTTTCAGTTGTTTATTCAGTATAAAAAAAATTCCAGCAAAAGAAAACTGTACAGAGATCCCACATTATTTTATACATATAAAAACAAATATTCTCATGAATGCAGCCCCTGTCTATGTGGCTTAACGTCAAGAGCCCGGAGGGCGGTCAATATTTGCCTTTCTTACCTACGGAGAAAAAGTTCCTGTCTTGGAAAATCTTAATGTTCCTGAAAGGTTAAGAAGTGGCACGCTCCCAAATCGAAAACGGAAAGGCCGGATCTATAAGAAGGGGGAGAAGCAGGACCTGGTAGAAGTCCCAGCTATCCGCAGCTAACTAAACCTCCAGGTCCAGTGGAAGTCTACCCCGAAATATAAGAGCAGGGAAGGTTTAACCACATGCCTTCACTTCCCTGCTAGACCGAAGGCTTCTTGTGCGTGTTTGAGCTGTGAAGCCAAACTAGTTTCCAGTTTGCTTCTCTGGAGTAAAAAGAGTTAGGGATACCCCCCGAGGAAGCCCCCCATTTTAGCGTCCCGTATTTTAGTCCGGCTGCACAGTCAAAGGTAGCTGCCCGTTGTCGTGTACGTTGTGCCGTGGCTTCATGCCATTCCCAGAATCCGTCCGTCCCATCGACGTGGCCTTTGTGCACCTCTGGCCTGCAGGGGTGCTGAGCGCCAGGCCCTTCGCGCTTTGGCCGGCTCCGGGAGAGAAAGTCTCTGGTCTGCGTGGGATCGTCCCCACCACCTTCCGGGTGGCTCCAAAGTGCTCAGGGCCTGCTCGGGTCCACACCCGGCCACGCTCCGTGGGGCAACACATAGCAGCGGCTGAGTGGCCGACCCTGGCATTCGGCCCCTCTAATCCTGCCATGCCCACTGCTTCGGGCACCCCAGGAAACCAGGGTCCCCCAGTTCCCGGCGAGCTCTGCCACGTCCTGGCTCGGTTCAGTCCTCTAAGCTTACGCCCCCTTCAGGGTCCACGGGGCATCAGCAGCAGCGGCAGCAGCAGGCCGACAAAGGTGAAGGGTCTGGAGGGCCGGGGAGCTGAATTGTGTCCCATGCTGCGCGACATCGGGGCGTCAGGATCATCTGCACATGCGTGGGGGGAGAAAAAAAAATACAACGTCCATATTGAGATCCTATGGCAGTGCGATACCTATCCAGGTCAAGGGCAAAAGCGTACTGAATTTGACTCACTCCTGTCCAGTGGGGCTCCATTCCCACTGGGAGAGCAACTCCGCTCCGGGTTTTGATTCGAACTTTACAGGAGTTGCTTAAAGGGCGGTGCCCCAAATAAGCTCAGCACCACGGACAGCGCCTCCAAAGCGCGGGAGAAAATGTGGGCTGGAGTCACCGCCCCCGTGAAATCGGAGCCCGCAGCCCCCCAGTCCTGATCTCTCTCCCTCTCCCCCCCCCCCGCTCTGTTACGGATTTACCTGACTGGGGTTTCCCCTTCTGGGTGGGATCCTGGCCTGGCAGCGTGTGCCCTGGAAAGCAAACAGAGATACACAGTAAAGACCACGTTCTTTGAATTATCCACATACAACCTTCTAGCCTTCACGGCACCTATGATATGAACTGGCCCGAACCTCCAAACCAAGGATCGTGTCCATCTTTAATTATTACAGTGGTGCCACGCTAGACAGTTACTCCGCATGACAGTTTTCACCCTTCACGGCACTTATGATATGAAGTGGCCCGAACCTCCAAACCAAGGATTGTGCCCATCTTTAATTATTACAATGGTGCCTCGCTAGACAGTTACTCCGCATGACAGTTTTTTCGCTAGACATTGACTTTTTGCGATCGCTATAGTGATTCGCAAAACAGTGATTCCTATGGGGGAATTTCGCTGGACAATGTTTGGTCCCTGCTTCGTAAACCGATTTTCGCTAGACGACGATTTTGACAGTTCCCTCCGCGCTCGCAAAACAGGTGTTTTCGGGACCTAAGCTTCACAAGACAGCAATTTAAACAGCTGATTGGCGGTTCACAAAGCGGCTTTCCTATGGCCGATCTTCGCTAGACGATGGTTCTTCCCCATTGGAACGCATTAAACAGGTTTCAATGCATTCCAATGGGGAAATGCTTCTCGCTAGACAATGATTTCACTAAACAGTGATTTCAGTGGAACGGATTATCATCATCTAGCGAGGCACCACTTGTATGTACTTCATCACTGGAGGTTCCGGCACTCATTACTGGGAGACAAAGGCAGATGAAGAGGTCCTTCCCCATAAACCTCCCATAAGGTAGTTTTTTCTTCCCGTTAGGACCAAAATGTAGGATTCCTGATGGAGAAACACAGACGAAAACAGGTTGTATGAATGCGTGTCAGGGCTAGAATGCTCACCGTTTTTCCTGGCCACCATCACCCTCAATTTTAGGCAGGCTTCTCCATGATGATGGATCGGTTTTGCTAAGATAAAGGAAAGAGAGGGGGGGAAAGAATTAAGAAAGGGATCTAGATAGAAGATCGTGCAGCAGAAAATTTGGTTTATTTATTTAGTTTTTCCTGCCATTACAATTTTTTAGAAAGAGGTGACAAGCAATCAGCTTACGGAACTCACTGTCACAAGATGAGGCAACAGGGTACAGGCTTAGGTGGGTTCAAAAAAAAGGTTTTTTTTGAAAAAAAGAGATCTCCCAGAAATTTCTATAAAGGCACGTCACTAAATGCAGAAATACTGGAGAAAGCCTGTTACGGACCCCCCTGTAAAATCTGCCCCTGAAATATCTACAAGCCAAGGTCCATTGTACATAAAAAGTTCTAAAATTATTTTGTATATAGTGGCCAGAAACAGGCTAGGAATAGGGTTCAGCTTCAGCTTCTACTCCTTCCCCCCACCCCCGGCTTTTTGATTAGGATTAGTTAGGAAAAGAGGAAGGCCAAAAGTTAAATGGACGGACTCCCGCAAGGAAGCCACAGGCTTCTGTTTGCAAGAGTGGAGCAGAGCAGTGGAGGACAAGACATTTTGGAGAGGGCTCATTCATGGGGTTGCCGTAAGTCAGAGGCCACGTGACGGCAAATTATAACAACAGGGTTAATTCGCTTCTATTTCCCTCAGTCTTCCTTTCGGGGCGTCTGTAAAATGGGTTCAGATGATCTTGGATCCATGCGAGGAATGGGATAACTCACAGCCTGAAGAATCAAAAATGAAGGGTTTCATTCCAGGGATACTCACAGATATAATAGTATTCGTGACCCGGCTGGAACTCTTTGCCGAGTGTAAATGGCGTGAAGCGCTGGAATTTCTCAGAGAAACGCTCGGGGCCGTGCAGGGCGTCCGGCCGGTTGCACTCCCAACGGATCTGGTCCTTCGAATGCGGCTTGCAGGTTTCGTATTCCTCCCGCTCCACCAGGTACAGCGTGTAGCGCTCCATGGCGTGGGGGGCGACGCTGTTGTCCTCGTAATGCGGGCAGATGATGTCCAGGTAGTCGTTCAGCTGGACCTCCACGGCGTAGTTGTCCCGCTGAAACCTGGGCCGAGCCGAGAGAGAGAGAAAGAGCGTTGGCGTTTAGACACGGTTAGGCAATTGATTTGTGACTACGAAGAATTTCAGGCCAGGCCCCATTGAATTTGATGGGGCTCCATTTTGACTTGGGCAAGGAGGACTGTGCCATTTGCCCTTATTTGCTCCTATTTCTTTATGTATAACACACATTTTTTCTTTAAAAAATTATATTTTACTTCCTACCATTGCAAGTTCTAGAAAGACGCGACTTGCAATCAGCTTTGGGCGCTCACGAACATAAGGTGCGGCACTGATTTATCTTTTACTGCCTCTTACGCTTCTGCGCTTCCCTATTTTTTTCTTCAAAATATGAACCTTGCGAGGTAGGACAGGTTCAGAGAGAGAGAGAGAGAAGCAGGGAGTTTCGTTGGCTTTGTAAAGGTGAGGAGCTGATTTCGGGCGGGCTGGCTGGCTTCAGGTTCGTTCCCAGAGAGTGCTTATTAAAGATTTTCCATGCCAGCTGGCAAACCGGCTCCTCCTCAGAGCAGGGAAGATTTTGGGCATCGCAGCTGGGATTCAAACCGGTTCAGCCACCCCTGCCCCGCCCCAGCCTAGGCAGGGTGGCAGGCAAACCCTCTTATCAGAGAGGAGAGGAGAGATCTCCAGGTGGGCCTGGGGGGGGGCAGCTTATCTCTTTCCCCCAGGGCCAAAAACCACCCAGGCTCCTGACCTTTGCGTCAAAGGTGGCTCCCACCCCCCAAGGGGTAGAAGAAGCCACCTGCATCTGGGCGAGCTTAACAGCTCTACCCCCTTAAAAAGGAATAGAATTACCCCCTCGGGACCTTTTAAGGAGAAAGGGAAGGTAAAACTATTTCAAATAATTTAAAAATAAAATTATTTATTTATGATTTCAGTATAACACTCCAAACAATGCCTATGAATGAATGAATGAATGAATGAATGAATGAATGAATGAATGAATGAACAAATGGATAGTTAACAAATGAATGAATGATGAACGAATGAACGAACGAACTAACTAACTAACTAACTAACTAACTAACTAACTAACCAACCAACCAACCAACCAACCAACCAACCAACCAACCAACCAACCAGTCTGTTCAAAGGAAGAATGTCAAGAGCAGGGATTGAGATGGTCCATTTCACATATTCTGGGATGCGATGAAATTTAGGAACCTCTTGAGCAGAAACGGCATGGCCGAGCCCAGGAGGGTCCTGCCCTAAAAGATCTCAAAATGTGGTTTCAACCTGGTGTATATGAAACTCCAGCAAAAGCTGGCCCACCCTACGAATCCCTACGAATACCATCTGGGAAAAAACACACACCACAATTTAAAGTGGCAGAAGCGTCAGCCGGCCAAGCAGGACAATCCAGCCAAGCTGAGGCGGCTGACATAAATCTGATGATGGGGATGATTTTTCCCAAGGCACTCCTGTTTTGAATCCAGAGGCCCATACACTACAACCCTCATCGTCCCCAGCTTTTAACAAAACAGAGAAGGGGGATTCCTTCTGTGGTCTGAGGCAAAAGGGTGCCCTCGCCCATGCCCATCCGGAGGTCCAAAGGTGTTTTTTGGGGGAATTTACATCTTTGAACTCCACTTCCCATGTTCCTCTAGAGTCATTCAGCTAAGGGGGATGATGGCCGTTGTAGTCCAAAGAGATCATTCCCTCCTCCGAAGGTAATTTTGTAGGGAATTTTCTCAAGCCACGCCTGACACCAATGGGAAACACAGCTGCTTGGTGGGGGGGGGCTTTGCCAGAGGCGGGGGCCGTATCTGGCAGCCCTCGGTGGCCACAGCAGGCTCCGAGTACCCATTTCATGGGGGGGAGGGAGCACGTGGGAAAATCCTCCAGTGTCCTGCAGTGGCCTCGCAGATTACAGGAAGGTTGGCACCAGGCAGGGCAGTGTCTTTAAGGCAAGGCCTGGAGTCGGCGTCCAAATGAAGACCGTCTCCAGTCTTCTCTTGGCGGAGAAACATATACTTAAAAACACACACACAGATCGCAATGCTAGGTTTCTTTTTAAAAAAAGAAAACAGAAGGAAAACAGAGAGGTTTCCTGCCCTGCGTGCCCCTGGCGCCTTCCTTTGGATGCCCGCCAGCGCCGGGCGGGAAGGAAGAGGTCCGGGCCAGCGGGGAAAATGACCCTGGGAAAGAAGAGCCGGCCGGTGGGGTGTGTGTGTGTGTTCCCTCCCCTTCAACTTTCCCCAACTGTGGCCCGGGCCAAACCCCACCACCACCACCGGGTGCCGGCCCCGCTGGCAAACTTTGCCCCTCTTGGCAGGATCCAGGTGCCGTGGACTCCATGCGGCCCGGACACTGCAAAAGTGGAGGGGCAGACTCGATTTCGGGGCGTCAAGAGGGACATTCAGAAACCGAAGCAGTTTTGCCTCTGCCTCAAATGTTCTGTGGATCGCCTGGTGCTTCTCTGTGAACAAGGGGGCCTCTGAGCAGCTGCAAAGTGCAGCTGTTCCCTGTCGGACCAGAACAGCATCCAATCTGCCCTACGCTGTAAGAGAAGGTATACCAGTAACCTGTGTAGTCCAGCTTTGTGCTTCTCGTGGTTATATTCTTTCCAGGAATGCTCCGGGTAGAGTAAAAAAAGCATCAGCTTTCTCGCATGTGAGGACTGCAATATCCAGAGATACACTGCACCTAAATATGGAGTTTCTACTTGGCAGAAGCCCTTTCCTCCAGCTTCGTCACCTCAACAATTTGTATTTCAAGGAAGACTTCCCCTACACATGGAAGCTCTAGAAAGGAAGATCACCTTTCCTGGATCACACTCCAAGTTCCATTTTAGCCGGTACCCCTATTTTCCACCGTGACCCAAAGCCCTCCTTCGTTCGGTACCAAAGCCCACATTCCTTCCTTGCTGGAAAACACTAGTATTCAAAGCTAAACTGCTCCTAAATATGGAGGCTTTATTTGCCCAGATAACGGCCAACCGTTGCTTGGCCTCTGTAGCTGCAAACAAAAGTGGCACTTCTGAGTAACAGAGACAAAGAACGTGTGGTTCTTCTGATGTGGTGGGATTCCAACCCCGTGCAGGCCAGGAGGATGGGAGTTGTAGTCCAGTGACCTCAGGAGGGCCCACAGCAGGCCGCTCATCTCTACCATAGGATCATTTATTCATCTATAACTTTATTGCCTTTAGATCTTTATATTTGGGTCCACATAAAGCTACTGTATTGATCTCCGATGTTTACAACCACATTTATAATTATTTATTTGATACGTTTCTATCCTCTCACTCTCCCTAAAGGGACCCAAGGTGCTCCTCCTCCCTGTTTCACATCACGACAACCCTGCGAGGCAGGGTCGAGCCGAGGGATGAAAGCTGGCCCAAGGTCGCCCAGCAAAGCCATGCGTTCAAGCGGGGATTTGAACACAGGACTCTTTGAGTCTTCGTCCAAAGCTAACCATTGTGCCCTGCTGCCTTCCACAAGAGCCCCCGATCCCTGGCACTCGTCCTGGGCCGAGGGCGAGGGGACAGCTGGACCCAAGCTGGCTGGAGGAGGGTGAGGTTGGAAAGGAGGCGGCCACCTGGATATACAGGAGATTGGGGAGTTTTTCGGCCTTGAGCTTTTCCATAACAGGATACAGCTGTCCGGGGCTTCTCCAGCACCAACACAAAGCCGCCCACTTTCCTCCTCCTCCTCCTGCCACACACCTTGCTGTGCAGCTTCAAAACAACCCCGTAGCGGGCTTAACTCTTCACTGCCCGGGGACGGCTTCCAGGCCACCCGGCCAGAGCTGGCCGTGAGCCGCAAGAGGACTTACTTGTTCTCGTCTTCACCAACCAGAAATAACACCCATCATTGGTGTCAAATTAAGCTGGCTTTCCTTGCTTGGTTATTATTATTATTATTTTGTACGCCAGGTCAGCCAGCGTTCGGCTGGCATTACGTAAGTGGCGAAAAGGCCAAACGCAACAGGAAGGCTACACAGCGCTCATCAGCTATGAACAGGATCCGTGGGGCACAAAGGTGCCCGGGCATCCTTCTCTTTTCCTCTCCCGGGCCTTGGCGCGCGTGCAGGGGAGCAACGGGCACCTCGGTGGCGGAGAAGGAAGGTCGGCGCGAGGGCACCCACGCTGGCAACATCTGGCCCCTTCCCCAGCGAGCTGGCCACTTCCTGATTTGTGACCTCGCACGATGCAGGAGGCATGCCAAACCACAACGTGCCAAGCCAATGTTTACCAGGAAAAAAAAAACCTCAGCTTTTCAGTCTGGCCTCCCTTTTCCCACCCTCTCTTCTGGTGGCTGTCCCAAGAGATTTTGCTGCCTGAGGCCAAAAAGTACCTCTCCCACCATCCCAAATTCCACACATGGGCAGGCAGCCCTTCCCTCGGAGCCGGCTGAAGGGGAAGGCCCCTTCGCCATCCCTGGAGGCAGTGGGGGGTCGTTCCCCGTGTTTTTTTTCCCCAAAACAAAGAAACAGTAAGGAACTAACAAACCGTCCACCCCACAGAAACAACAACAGATTCACACACACCACAAAGCTTGGTGATCGCTGGTTCTTTGGGGGGTGACCTGGATGGGACTCGTGCCAGCCAGCGGGCACAGAACAGCAGAGACAGAACAGACACACACAGACACAGACACAGACACAGACACACACACACACATACGGGTGACCATCAACCAGGGAAAGCCAGAGGCAGAATAATAGGGCCAGCTTTTGTGGGAGGTTGGGTGGAGAGAGGGAGAGAGAAGGAAATAAAACTTCCAGCCTTTGTATGGATGCAGAAGTTTTGAATACACCCCCCCTCCAACAATGTGCCAAAAGCGATTCCTTGTGGATTGATGTTATTCACCTTGGTTTTATCCCACCTCGCTCACCCGAAAGGGGCCCAAAGCAGCTTCGAACTTTAAAAGTCCTTCTGAGATGAGAGGGGCCCAGAAATCCCACCCTATACCCAGGGGTGCCCTAATTGCTCCCCTGGGGGGGCACAGCCCCGGTCTGGAGATCAGGAGCAGCCAAAGAGAGGACTCGCTCCCGCTTGGAAACATTGTTCTTTTCCCCCGTCCCCTGGACTACACGCCCCAAAATCCTCAGCCAGCCCGACCCGGGAGTCACCCATTTTTGAGAAAATAACATCTTTCCATCCAAAAGGGGTGGGGGGTCCCCCAAAGATCACCGACCTCAGCGCCTGGAATTAAAGCCACATGCGCCCCCCCGGCACCTCCATCTCTTCCCCATGGGGGGGATCCCCTTCCTCAGACGAACTTCACGCGGTTGTTTTTAAAGCCCATCTGGGTGACCCCCTGAATCGAGGACCCCCCCTTGGAGAACGCCTCTCCGGTGACCCGTCCTACCTCGGGGCGACACCTCGGGGTCCCCTGTCTCCACAAGACCCCTGGAGTCTGGGACGAACTACCTCTGTTTGGGTTTTTTTAATTTTTGGAGAAGTCCAGGCCAAAACTGGGGACCCAAATAGAGTCGAGCAGGAGGTGGAGGTGTCTTCGCCGAACCCCCGCGTCGTCCCTCAGACGCGGGCAGACACTGCACCCCCAAAATTGAGGACCTCGGAAGGCCTTAAGAGCTCCAAACATCCCCCACCTCCGTGCGCAAAAGCGCCCCAAAAGGATCTGAGTTTTGGTTAGCCTTGCAGTATTTCCTGGGGGGGGGGCGCAGAAGAGAACGGGACGCGGGCGCTGGGTACCCCCCCTCCGCAACTCAGCTGTAACCCCGAAGGGAAGAACAGGCGCCCTCTCCCCCCCCCCCCCCGCCCCCTTCCCCCAACCTCCCCGGCCCCATTTCCCCAGCCCTCCGAGCGCTTCCCCCCCCCGCCCCGCGCTCACCTGGGGTTGGTACTGTTCCAAAACACCGTGTGCCTGTCTCCGGACGCGCCGCGCAGCGCGCAGCAAAGGCCCACCAAGGGGGCCCACAGGATCAGCAGCTCCATGGGCGAAGTGGGGTGGGATCTCAGTGGTTTGCTGGCTTGCTTTCCCCCCACCTCTCAGCACCCCACAGAGCTCAGCGCCTGTTCGACGGGGCGGACAAGCCTTCGCTCCGCCCTTTCTGCTCGCTTTCCAGGCGCGCCCTCCGCCTCCTTTCCTGGCCTGGCTGGGTTGGTAAAAGCTCCTTTTCTCTCTCTCTCTCTCTCTTTTCCAGTTCTGGGCAGGCCGCCCACAAAGCTGGGCTTTATGAACCAGGAGGAGGCCACCGCCCCTGGCTGGGCTGGGCAGGGCTGGTTGGAACAAGCGCGCCGCGTAAAGGCGCACCGTTTGGAGGCATGGAGAGAGGCAGGCAAGTTGCGGGAGAGGCGGCCGGCGGGCGCAGGGGAAGGCGCGGACCCACCGTGACCACTAGGCAGCACCACCAAGCCCCTAGGGGATAAATCCGGACGCGGGGGACCCACAGCTGCTGATGGAGGTCGACCCAAGACATTTAGCAGTCTGCGGCCAGAAAGGGAAGGCTGCCCTCCCTCCCTCTCCGGCTGGCTCAAGGGGCACAATTCCCAAAAACCCAACCAAGTTATTTTGGCAAATGAGGTGGGAAACTCTTTACAGCCGCTCACGGCCAATGATTTTTTAAAAAATAAAATAATCTAGATTTTCAAATTATTTCTTTTGTGAAGTCTTTAATGTTTTGATAATCTATTTACAGTAATGGCATTTTCTGCCTTTTCAAAATGTTCCATATCTGCTCCCCAAAGCCTCTCCTGGCGTCAAAAGGTGAGCCCTGCAGACCCTAACAGAAGCTTGATGATCCCTGTTGGAGTGATGCCTTTGATTAGGCCAAGCCAAAACCCCTGCAAGCTTTTGAGGTCACACAGGTCTCTTCCTCAAGCAGGGAGCTACCAAAGGCCTCTCCCTCTTTCCTTTTATATGTGACATCGTGCATCATAAAGAGACCAGTGAGCTCAAAAGCTGATGTTTGTAATCATTTCCAGAGGTGGAGAAAACATTTTCGGGGGTAAGGCTACTGTGCTAGGTTTATCCCTGTTTATTTTTTTAGAGCTTCTCCCCCCCCAAAGCATCCTGGGGATTGTAGTTATTTTGGCAAGCTCTCGGTAATACCACTGCTGAGAGTTAAAGAAATGCTGGATAGTTCAGTGGTTCAGGTCTCTGGCTGTGGAGCCAGAAGTTGGGGGTTCAATTCCCCGCTCTGCCTCCTTGACAGGGGCTGGACTGGATGACCGCTAGGGTCCCTTCCAACTCTGCAGTTCTCAGATGATGATGATGCAGTTTGTAACCTCTGGTGGATCAAAAGGTGTGCCATCCATGGTGGAGACAACATGGAAGTAGATGGACCAGCCCTCCAACTGGTAGGGAGGCCTCGTCCTGCCTCTTTTTAAAACCACTCCTTTTTTATTCATCACCATGAGGACTGGAACCTTTATTTGTTTTTAAGAGGAAGGACGGCAGGTTTTGCGGGCCCGTTTTGGAGAGCTGCAGATTCCCTGCGCTTGCCGGAGGGTTTGTTTGGGTGCTAACTCCGAACGGATCGCTTGAAAGCCTGCTTCGTGTTCCAGTTTGAAGTTGTCGCTTTTCCAGATAAGAATCTGCCCTGACAAGGAGGTGTCTCTCCAAGCAACGGAGAGTTGTGCCATCATGAGGCGCATGGTCTGAAAAAAGCAATAAACGAGCAACGCTCCCCGAGTTGTGCCATCACGAGGCGCATGGTCTGAAAAAAGCAATAAACAGTGTAAAGCAGCCTTGGCAACATTTGTTGAAAGCACATGGTGAGCTGCTTAAGGGTGCCATCAAAAGCGCTTGCCTGGGGAATGCGGTTTTATCCTACGGTCATCTCTGGCTACACTATGGATGCACAAACACATCCAGGCTTCTGTGATGCAAAATAAACAAAATCACACAGAGAGAGAGAGAGAGAGAGAGATGGGTTCCAAGAGAGATCCTGGGACTCATAATCCAGGGTTTTCAGCATCGTGATAAAACCCGGACAGATTCTGGAGCCAAAGGCCATCCAAGGATCTAAAATCCATCAGGGTTCAAAGATCAAAAAGTGAATTAGGGAAGGGGGGGAGGGAAGTGCTGTGGAACAGGGGCCCAAGAGACAGAATGCGAACTGGGGGGTGATGGGATTTGTAGTCCAAAGGCTATTGAACTCCTCCACTCCCACCAGTTCAGTGGGGGACGGCTGGGTGAATTCGAGCGACGGTCGCTGTCATCCTGGACCGAACTGAGATTGTCAAGGACTGGGCAGGAGAAATAAAAAACACTCCTTTGTAGATAAGGGGGGGCGGCGCAAGGCCTTCGAAGCAGAGAGCGAAGTGTGCAGGCAGGCACGTGGAGACCCACGGGGCCAAACACACAACTCGGCCTCATGTTGACAGAGTGTGTAATATCACGAGCATGATGCAACCGCCCAGTCTGGTTAGAACAGGAACGGACGGAGAGAGCCCACGGGGCCAAACACACAACTTGGCCTCGTGTTGACAAAGAGTGTGTGATATCACGAGCATGATGCAACCGCCCCGTCTGGTTAGAACAGGAACGGACGGAGAGAGTAAAAGACAATGTTAAGTCAAAGCATCGTTCTCAGGAGATGTTTACCAGCCCCAGGGTGAGCAGAGAGCCGCCTTCCAGCATGTGCCGGACTACATGTCCCAGCATGCTGGTGACAGGCAATGGGAGTTGTAGTCCAAAGCACATCAGATCCGGTTTGTTGCCTTTCCAAGGGCTCTCTTCAAGGAACATCCTACAGGTCGTGAGAAGCACCACGGCGCAAGGATTTGTGCCTCAGTTAGGATGACCCAGGATACTTGGGGCCGGAGGCACAGGGGACGATGGGTCCTGCTTCCCCCGGGTTGCAAGGATTTGTGCTTCAGTGAGGATGGCCCAGGATACTTGGGACCGGCAGAGGGGACGATGGGTCCTGCTTCCCCCGGGTGAAAGCAGGCTGTGCGATCCTCCACGCGCCCATCCAAAATGGCATCCAGGTCATTCCCAAAGGGGGACCCCAGTTTGCACGCACAGATCTCCCGATTCACCCATTGAGCCCGGAGAGGCCGATGCAGAAGGGAGACCTCCTTCCATGCGCTGGTGGAGAACAGCGCCATAAAGCGATCGGGCGTGCATAGGCATGCGCCCGGCCTTCTTCCCAGAGCCTCGTGGCTTTGACACACAAGAAACGGGTTGCACAAGGACCAAAGCCGAGCAGCCGAGCAGCCGAACCTAAACATAGAAACATTGACACAGAACGATACTGTTTCTGGAACCAGCCACGCTGCCCAGATGTGCTCCTGGCCCTCTCTCCACATCTGCGGGCTCGTAAAGTGTGCCACTCCTCCCCCCCCATTACCACTCAGATCGTAACCTCTATGGCGGTTGATAGCGACGAGTCTTGTGACACTCGTCAACTTTCAGGCTTAAAGATTAGCCAGTTTTGTTTGGCATGAAGGGATGGCACATAACGGGGGGGGGGGTAGTCTTTAAAATGCCACATTCTGGTTGACTGGTCTGGCTGCCACAAACTGAACAGGTCAAAACACACACGCAAACACACACCTTGTGGCTAACAGCATCGGGCCTAGAAAGCTAGTATGGACTTTGTGAACGTCAAAAGGTGGGGAGGGATGGTTCAGAAATGTCACATCGGACGGCGGGCGGATTGGGGATTCCAGCCCTTCTTTCCTACTTCTCTCTTTTCCTTTCTCTCCTCCTCCTGCTTTTCATCTCCTTCCCCTTAATCCAGAAAACAAACAACGCTCGGGAATGTTGTAAGCTTCAACCTTGTTCTTAGTAACTTTACCCCTGAAAATAGTTTTTAAAACTAATCAGCCCTCCCCCCTCCCCCCCCCACAGCGATAAGGGAACCCCACCTTTGCCAAGCTGTCGGGCCTTCTCAGCCAGGAGCATAAGTATCAGAAATCAGGAACGACAAAAACACTAATTTCTGTAGTTCCCCCCCTCCCCTTCAATGGCTGGCAGATGGAGGTGGGACCGGCTTTTCTCATGCATTGGAAACCCCCCTCTCTTTTGATGTACAGCTTAGCATGGGGTAGTGGAGTATAGTGGTTAGCGTGTCGCCCAGGGTTCAAAAATCCACAAAACTCATGATGTAGGGGCCCCACTCTGTCTAACCATGCCCTACCTCACAGGGCTGTCGTGAGGACCAAACGGGAAGGAGCGAAGCCCCATACGTCGCCTTGCGCTCGGCGAAGGGGTGGAAAATGATGAATATCCTACACGCCTCTTAACCTCTCTTTCCGTCCTCTGAACTAGCCGGTTCCCTCTGAGGCGATGGGATATGTTGCTCCGTGGGCCGAGCTGACATTCGAATCAGTCCCGCTGTCGAAGCCAGTCGGCTTCTATTCGCAGACGGGGAAGACGAAACAGGTGGTTTCCCTCGGGTGACAAAATCTCCTGGGCTGCACTGCGTTGAAGACCAGCTCCTTTGAGGGTGTGGGAATTTGGCAGGCGTTTTGTACCATTTCCCCCTAGATGGGGCCCTCCGGACCCAGTTCCACTACAAATCCCATTTGCCCCCTCTCTTGGAAAAACAGGGAAGTCTTCCAACCGGCACAAAGCGTTGCTATCTGTTCCATTACTTTTTTAAAAAACCGACTCCGTTTCTTCCTCGCGTCGATCGGACCGATAAAAAGCTACTAGTTCTCAGGGTGTCTAGACATGGATGCTTGTCAAGCCTCCTCCACCACCCCGCCGCGTGTCGGTCCTGAGTGCCGATCCAGTCCCGTTTAAACAGCCGCCAGAGCAGGAGAGGAAGCGATAACTCCTCGACGCATTTGTGAGACAACTTTACCCTTGTTTATCGCGTAATGAGGCATCGATTGTGGGTAATGTTGCATGCTCGACACGGCGCGGACAGCGAGAGAGAAAGAGAGGAAGAAGCCGAGAGAGAGAGAGAGAAGCTGGCGGCCGACAGCAGGCCTTGGTAAGCTGATTCCCCCCTGGTGACACAGCCAGTGAGCTGCTGCGTTAATTAAGGCTAGAAATGGCCATTTTGGGGGGACGGTTCGGAGCAAAAGCCGCAGCCGTGTGATAGAGCACCAGCTGTCTGTGTGGAAAGTCCGCGGCGTGGGCCATTTCGGGCCTTCCAGATTTTCCCGGGTCTCCACTCTTGTCAGCCCTAAAAAGAGCCGCTCCAGAAGGCCCAGTATGGGGTCAGGACAGAGCCGACGGTCCTACACCACGAGCAAAGGGGGAAAGATGTATCGTTGAGTCCGGGCAGGCCTACCAATAGATTCGTTTTTAGATTTCAGCACAGCATATAGTCCGAACTATAGCCCCAGCTGGTGATTTAAGTAAAATAAGGAACACGAAACATGTAAACACTGCAAAGAGAGGAAGGCCACAGAAAAAGCTCCCACTTGTAGGACCAGCAGCGAAGAGGGGGCGCAAAAAAGATGGGGATTCGGACGCAGAATAAGGCCTCCATTGCGGTTTCTCATTCTGCACCTACCTGACATGAGGA